TTTCTGCAGGAAAGTCCTTGATCAAGTTTTTTCTTGGAAAAAGAATGCACTTTTTGGGCCCCATTCGAGGGATTTTTAAGGAATATTTTTGGAATATTTATGCATAGAATCGGAAAACAGCATTCAACGAATGAATAATACTAATTGAAGGGCAACGATAGGCCTCAATGACTCAATTGTTGTACGTATGACCCCACTTCCTATGGCGCTTTTCCGGGGAACGTTCAATGATTCAATGCCCCCCCATTTCGCTTACCTGTTTCTTTGGATTCCCTCGCCCGTCCACGGCATCTCGCTGCTGCTGCTGCTGCTGCTGCTGATGATGATGCTTCATGCTGCCGCTCCTGGCCACACGCTGGGAACAGAGCTTGCAGCGACGTGCCACAGAGCCATCCTCCAGATTGAGGGCATCGAAGAGCAGCGGCTGGTCCTGGATGAACGAGTTGCGGGAGCGCAGATTCAGGAGCTCCAGGGTGCGCGAGTCGAGACTCTCGCGATAGACGTTGTGCACCTTGTCGAGATTGTGCTCGTAGTCGGTGTCCAGGCTGGTGCGGGCCGCCAGAGAGGTGCTGCTTCCCCGTTTATTGCGCCGCATCACCACCATCCGGACCACCGTCTCCTCCAGGGAGGAGACCAGGGGGACGGGCAGCGAGGGCGAGGGGGAGTGCGAGTGCGAATGCGAATGCGAGTGCGAGTGCGAGGAGTGCGTCATGGCTGTGGCAGGCAGTGGCAGCTGTGTGGCAACGGGCAGCGGCTGCTCCGCGAGACTCATGAGCGACTGCTGCCGCTCGAGCTGCTTCTCGTAGCCGTTGAACTTGTCGTAGTCGATGAAGGACATGTTGGCATAGGACACCATGTTGTCGATGGCCTGCAGCGACTGCAGCGAGGCGCTCCACTTGGGGTTCATCTTGTCCTTCTTCTCGTTGCCGCCGATGCCGATGCCGATGCCACTGCCACCGCTGCCACCGCCACCGCCGCCGGCCAGACCGCTGAAGGTGCTTTTGAAGGAGGCGATCAGCGTGTTGGAGCGCCGCTTCTGGAAGTTCAGCTGCGGATTGTCCGACATGAGGGAGGCCTTGCGCTGGACAACGGGCACCGACGCCGACGCGGACGCGGACGACACCTCATCCAGCGGCGTGGAGGTAATCGGATGCGCCGATTGGCGTCGCGTGGGCGTACGCACTGAGCCGGAGACCTCCCCGCGCCGCAGCAAGACAGGCGACTCCTCGGCCATCGAGGTCTTGCGCGGAGAGGCGGGCGAGGTGAGATCCCCCCCGGACTTCTCCGTCTCCTCCGACAGCTGCTCCAGCTGCGGCTCAATGAAGCTCCGTCGATTGGGGCGACGCATCAGGATCATGGAGCGGCTGCGCGTGAACGTGAAGGGCGTACGGCCGGACTCTGCATCCTCCTCGGTGCGCGACAGGTTCTCCTTGCTGCCCGTCAGGTGATTGATGAACTTCGAGAGCTTTGTCCGCAGCGAAAAGCTGTTGGATCGCTCCATCTTGGCCACGTTCTCGTATCCCGGCAGCGATGGCAGCGTTGTGGCTGCCACAGTGGCCCTTCGCTCTGCCTCGTAGTGTGCCCGGAATTTCTGTCCCGTGCTTGTCGTTTCCGTTGGCGGATCTTTGTTGTTGTTTGGAACAATGTTATTATTGTTATTGTTGTTGTTGGTGGTGGTTTGCGGTGGGGTCTTGGCATTCGGCGAAGACCTCGTCGTATTCCCGATTTTTATGCCGTTCTGCTGCTGCTGCTGCTGTTGCTGTTGCTGCTGCTGCTGTTGCTTCTGTTGCTGCTTTTTGGTCACCTTTTGGGTCTTTTTCTGCGCCTTGGCGGCGCTCTTTGTCTCCCTTGTGGCATACATTCCAAGGCCAGTGGACTTTAGGCCCTCCTAAACGAGAGAGAGATAGAGAGAGAGAGAGCGAAAGAGAGTGTTAACAAATTTCTTGATTAAGAATCGAGTCATTGTTTCTTTTGGGCCAATTGTTTTTATTGATCTAATGCCCCTCCCACTCCCCTGCCTTGCCCCACAGTTCAACATACTCTAGAGATATAGGAGCTCTGTTCCTTCTATATGTCCATCAACTTTCAGAGGCTATCGTATTTATTACAAAAGAAATTTCAGTTTATCTTGCCTTTATTTTCAGAGCAATTCGTCGAGAATTGACTATGAATATTGTACATTTTTCGAATGAATTTAGTGGAATTCTAGATAAAAAAATACAGAACTTTTTTGAAGAATAAATGGAATACCAATTCAAAGAAATGATCGCCTTTGGAGTATTCATTTCTATAAAATCTCGGAAAAAAGAAAACAGCTTTTCCTTCAATTAATTTGGAAATGAAATTCTTGGAGAAACTTATTCCAATAAACTCAAAATACACTCCTATAATCGAGTCGATCGAACATAGTTGATTTATGGATTTGGAGCCTTCTCTTCCATTTCGGTCTTGAAGCAGAGTCGGTGCCAAAATTTAGTGATTCCATCAGTCAAATGTCCATTCAAATTCCCTGTTTTGAGTGACATTGACCTCTGGGCAGTGCTGGACAATGGACGAGCCGGAATAGCAGTCTGTCAGTCAATTTATCATCGCCCAAAAGGACGGCAGTCGTTCGGTTCGTTCGTATTGATAAGGCCACAGAAGAGTGCGACCGTCCAATATGTACAATGTGCAATGTACATACATCCATCATGGATGTACATATGTGCGATGGAAATACAAAAATCAAATGACAGACATGCTCGCATGCGAGTGATATCTGGAATCGAGGGAGCCACTATCTCTCGTGTACAGTAGATATTGCCAAAGTGCAAACACCCACTCTTTCCCTTACCCTTAGCCTTTCCCTTCCGCTTCCCTTTTACCCTCCTCCAGTGCTGAAACAAGATACTCGCACATATTGAAGTATTGCCCAGGAAAGAGTGCAGCTTATTTGCCACTGAGCGACTCTGGCCACACTGGCCACTTGCCGCCTGCCACTCCAAACGATTGGCATGTGGATGAGCTCTAGTGGAACCCGGCTAAAATGGAATAACTGACTGAGTGGAGAGATAGAGATAGGGATAGACCCTCTTCTCCATTGTGGTGAAACTTTTGCCTAAATTGTTATCTCGAGCAATTTTTATTTCCAGCCAAAGCCTCAAAAACAACATTCACAACATTCGCTGTTTGATAAGATTTCCACACAGAAGAAAAACAAAAACAGAAACAAAAAAAAAGCCCCAGTCACACGTTCCCTACCCTTTGGTGGTGCGATATCTGCTGTTAGCATGTGTGGGTGTGTGGGTGTGTGGGTGGTTGGCGGTTGATTGCTTTGGTTCCGTTTTTCACCTGTTGTGGGAATCCAAAAAGATTGTACAGCACTGATATCTCTCTCTCTCTCTCTCTCTCGCACACTCTTTCTCTCTGGAAACGCTATCAACATTTTTGTGCCACTCAATCGATTGCACATCAGAAAATCAGTTGATGATTTTCTCAAGCAATATGTTGCTGAACTAAATTGACATTTCAATTGCTAGAATTATACATATCTAGTCACGCACGCAGTATGTATGTTGTTCTTGGATGCATTTTGCTTGCGCGTCTGGCTGGAGTCAGTTTTCAAAGAATAAACCTCCAAGAAATGGGAGGAGTAATACATAGCCAGGATAAACAAAAAACCATAGTGCAGGGTACTTGATAGTCGTTTTATACTCACTCCCGAGCTTGTGTGTGTTTTATCAATGTCAATCCCGCAATCCAGCAGAACTTTACTTATTTTTAATTGTTGAAATGACTCACGCACACGACAATTAAGGAGTATTGACTCTTTTTGGATCCGGAACTTCAGAGGCAAAGCCAATTAGGCCACTAAGGCCAGAAGCCGGATCCCACTTGGAAAGTGTGTACTTTCGGGAGGGTTCTACCGGCAGGTCCTATCTTTCGAAGGCTAAGAATGAGGCTTTTATTTGAAGATTAGGCGTGTTCCATCACTACTTGCAAATGAGACATTCATACAAGAGCAGGCCCAATGCAACGTGTATCCTTGCATATACGTACAATGTACGTGATATATGGTACTATACTTTTGTCCCAACAGATTAAATGCACGTGATATTTGTGAGTTCAAGCAGTTTCTGGAGTGCATTTTGGTTTCAGTAATTTATCATGAGATTATTCCGTCATTGAGAGTCCCTTTAAGCGTAAAAGACCTTCGGAAAGCCCTCTGAATGGATTGTTTGACATATCATTGACATTTCTATGCTGACATCCATTGGAAAAACTCGACTTGAATGTCTAATGGAGACCCATCCTCCGCTAAAAATAAATCTAAATAACATTGTAGTTCCCATACCGACTGTGAGATACCCGACAATCACAATCACATTATTGCTTGCAGAAATTGGGTTTTCATTAGCTATCTTAACCTACAATATCCAATCGATATTCTCTGCTGCATAAAAATATGCCAATCTATGACAAGAGTTTCCGGTTTCTCTGGCAGGCACCCTGTCACCCTGTATTTACCCTTCTGCTGTGAAGGGTATCGAGAGGGGTACACGCATTAAACCGCATAGAGAAGCCGTGATCATGATCATGATCATGATCAGAATATCAATATCAATATCAATATCAGTTGCCCTGTCTCCCGGGTCTTGAGATCAACTTCAAATTTAGCCGCAAAAGTACTCGCATTTGTGGTTAAATGTTAACGAGAGCAGAGCTGCTTCTGAGGTCCTAAAGCCCAATGATGTTTTAACTGTCTTTTCATTTATTTTAAAGTGATTTCTCTGCTCTTGCACCTGCCACTGGATCCCGATATCGATATCGATTTCGTTTGAATATTCGCTATGGTTCAGTGGATTCTCCGATTCGCGTTTGATTACATTTTGACGAGGGATTGTGATTGTGTCCGCTTGAACCCGGCTTTTGTGTGTTAGATTCACTTGGTCTTGGGCTTGAGACGAAACAGAAGCTTCGATGCGTATTACGTTACCGCATGCCACATGGCTATGCCCGCGTAGAGTTCAGATCAGTGCGGAGGAAACATGTAATCCAGTGAAAGCTTCCATGGGGCGCTCGACCATCTTCTGGGGACAAATCCTAGGTATGTACAATGTACGGCCCGCACATGCTGCACATCGAACATGGCCAAAACCGAATGCTTTCTAACAACTGGCAATCAAAATTCTACGAAATGGACACCCTGCAACCCAACGGTCGCACCGGCTGACGTAAGTCCGTCGTCCACTTGAGACAACTTGTAAAGAATCCAAAATTTGTGAGAGGGCTCGATGGCCTTTTGTCTTTTGTCTCTTTTTATGAAATGAATACACTCCAGAGAAATATGTAGGAAGTGCGGGGTAGGTGCCAGTCGGGCATACACTTGGCTGCCTCTCCGATGGTGCTGTGTTTTGTGTTGTGTTGTCTCGTTGTTTGGGTTCGGATGAAACCTGTTTGCGTGTCTCATTGACAACGCATTGTTGTTGTCGAAGCACTCTCATATGCAGCATCCGTCACTGATGATAGATAGACGCTCTCTTCCTTGTGGTAATCCTTATAGGAACCCGAGCTCCAACGAACCGGTTCCAACACTGTGCGAACTAGTAGGTACTAATGATGGAACCCATCAGGTACATAGGTGGGGGGTGGACTCATGATAAGGTCGTGTGATATATGCATGTTACATAAATCTCTAGCAGATTAACGTGATAAAAAGCTGATAACAAGATGTGCCATCTCCCACATGTACGTTCCGCATGTCTGCCACAGTGAAACCCGGCCCAAAGACCACTGATTCAAATGAAAATCTGTTATGGATGGTATATTTTGTAGTTTTTCAGTTAATCTGAAGACATCGGTGCATATGGCAGCCAAGAGTTTCCAATAATTGGGTTCGGTTGTAGTGTCGTGTCGTAGTGTCGGGCGGGACATCAGAAAGTGTTGGCAATATTTACCCTTCAGCGTTATCAGCTCCACAAGTTGATATTTAGTGCGTATGTGTGTGCGTATGTGTGTGTGTGTGTGTCGCTCTTTCCTGATAGACTGCTTTTGATATAAGTAGTTTCCGATTTTCGCTGTTGCTGCTCTACTGTTTCACTGTTGTGCTACTGCTGCTGTTGCTTTCGAGATTTTCATAAGCTTTGCCTTTTTCATTAACACTCGGAATCGCATTGGCATTTTACCGACCCGACGATACGTCCGATTCGAAGTCCGACGCGACGCTTGCGCTCACACTAGACAGAGCGACAGAGAGAGAGAGAGAGAGAGAGAGAGAGAGAGATATCTCGTATACATAGTATGTAGCCTTGCTCGATTTTGGCCTGGTCAAAGCGCAGCCGTTTTTTCAGCGGCAGCCAGCTTTGAAGCGCGCGCACACGCCGACAAAGAAATGCACTTCACTCTTATTTGCCCAGTACCGCTAGGGGACGGACTGCAGTTTGTTTCGGGAATAGACGACGCAGTCGTCGAAATGCTCTAACGAAACGCAGTGCATGGAAAACAAAACAAAATTAAATAGTACATATTTTCATGTGCACCTTATGTACCTTACATATATGTAGAAAGAGAGAGAGAGAGAGAGAGAGAGCGTTTATATAAAGGCTTTTTGCGCAATTTGACAACCAGCTGACAGCTGAGAGCCACTCTCTCGCTGCTTTCGCTCTCGCTCACCTCACAAACACAACACACACAGAAACACTAACGCACGCTGGCACACGGCACACGCACAAAATGACATGCTCTCTCTTTCTCGCCGTTTTGCACGTTTCAATTTGATTACCTCTAATTATTGTTATTGTGTTTCTATTAAACAACGCCAGCTTTTTTGCACTTGAAAAAAATTGGGTTCAGGACGGACAGCCGTCGCCCTGCAGCTGCTACACTCACAAGCTAGCTGGTGAACAATTCCGAAGCGAGCCGCACCGCACCGCACTTAACCCTATCGCTGCGCGCATCAGAATTAGCAATGTGCCCGAGTCGCGAGTAGTACCGCCATGTGTGCGCACTTACTTCCAGGGAACGACGTCGTTGCGAAAATAAATAACAAAAAAAAGAACTCCCGCTCGCGGACAAAGCTAAATGCCAACTCTGGCGTTTCATGTACGACCGATCGCCGCAGCAAAAATAGTGCGGCTCTCTCTCTCGCTGTCAGACTCTCTTTCGGCGTTGGAACAGAGTGGTGTGCGTGCGCTGGCAATGCGGCGGCGCGGCTCCAGCTGTTTACTCTTTCAGAGGGGATACAGGGTTCAGTTTTCGAGCTTTCAGCTTTTTAGAGCACTTTACAAGAGAAGATTTGCTAGAATTTTGACAAGATGGATAACAATTCAATCCAATAATTTTTAAAGACTCTGTCCAATTCTGTCCAAATTGTGTCTATAATAGTCCTACCACCATATCATACTACTGCCATAGGAACGACCAATCTTGAAGGGTGTCAAGTGTTCCGACCCCAGAAGCACGCGTTGGCTCATGAGTCACTTCACAGAGAGTTTTTTTGTTGACCAGCGACCGAGTTTGGACGCTTGAATTAATTAATGAGCAGAACGCCGCCGTACGGCTGAGAGCGGATAGCGAGCCCTAACTGAGCTCCAACCGCTTTGGAAGATAAATTTAAATTAAGCAAAATATTGCGCGAAACATTTGTATGTTCACATACAATATCGGAATAAACGTACATATGTATGTACATAGATGGATACATAAGCAAACAAAAAACAGAAAACCGAAGACGTTAATGGATTATTTATGAATGAACAGATCAATGTGCGTTGAGATCAGGGACAATCTTTAAACGTTCGTTAGCATGGAACTGACATCATTTATTATACCCCATAATTTTAGGGCACTAGGGTATACAGTTTTGCCTCGCAGTTCGCAGTATGTGGGATGCTCGGATGCACAAACAGTTCTCCCATCAGACTGTGTTTACATGCGCACAGGCTTCAGTGGGGTCCTGTCTGCAGGCGGGATCCGTATTGGTGTGTTCTTCCTGAACAGTGCCATGGACGTGATGAGTCGTTTTTCCTGACCAATATGCTCTCACGGTAAAGCCACATTTTACATCTAAAGACTTGTCCAGCTAGCAACGATCAATATCAACGATATTTTATATATAAGTAGATACCATTTCTTTTCGAGAGAAGAATAGCATTTTGGAAACAAATATGCAGGAAGAACCGCTCACCATCATAGGATCCACAGCCATAGCAAACTCTTCTGTTCCCTTCGACCAGGCGGTGCTGGAAGACCACACAAAGACTGTGTATCCTCAGTCAACACTCCAGTCAAGTATACAACCAATACGCGCTCTCAGTAACCTAACAAACATGAACAACTTGCCCAGAGCGATCTTTCGATCAGAGGAGCTGCGTCACGTTGCCAAACTTTAAAGTTTAATTTCCAAATTTGTTTAAATTTAAATTTAAATGTCTGTTACAACAGTCATTACAACATTAAAGAATATTCAAATTGAACATTTGGTGAGGCGCCAGCCGTCACTCAGCGCCTATGAGGATCAACTGTGCAAAGCAATAGAAACCATTTTGGAACTTTTGGAAAAAGGCATACTAGAACTAACTAGTACTAACCGCCTAAGTGGACTTATTTGTGTTTTTTTTTGTGCATTTTTTGAATTTTCAGTTGTTTTCCAAAGTTTGCGGCAGAAATTTTGTTGTCATTTTCTTGGTTCTTGGCGCCAGAAATCAGCTGATAGTGTTACCATCCATCCATCGGTGATTTTCACAGCGCTGCCAGACTGGTGGATAAAGGTGACAACAGCTGTTCGCAAAAGCGCACAGCAATGCAATTTTGTCTTCAAGGTATATTGTGCGAAAGGGGTGGATTTTACATTTACATGCATTTTGCAGACGGAGTTGTTAAACAGGTCGGCATGACCAATGGAGAAGCTAAATAAAGCTGTGCAACGACAATGTCCTGATTATCTGCGTTCCGTGCCGAGGGCGCGCATCTTGTGGAAGGGGGGTGGAGCAGCCGTGTTCCCTGGTCCTGGTCGAGCTCCATGCGTCGCACTCCGACGCACATCCGACCAGGAAACGATACGCCTCTACTGGATAGCAACAAGCGTCAGATACTAATTGGCAGCAAGACTATATGTACTGGAGCACCGAGAGCGTCTTGGCCAACTCTGGACAGCGGACAGCCCTTCGACATTGCCATAGCATAGCCATTGACCTAGGCAGCGGGGAGGGTGTGGAAACAGCGGCTCCAGTGTCGGGGAATAATGCCAGGAAGAAGTCCTTCTTCGTATATCAGCCTCCTGGCGCTGTGACGGCGAAAAGAACTGCCCGGCGGATGAAAAAATTAAATTTACTAATTATTAAGACGCTTCTAATGTAATCTAAGAACATACATACATACATATGTAGATGTTTTATAGAAATACTTTTTACACTCCTTCGTGTTTCCCACAAAATCGGAATAATATAATATATTTCTCTCAGCCATAATTTGTACGTGCCAATATAATAATCGAATACTTCGTATAGACCCACCAGCGATCGAAGAGGAAGCGACTTTTCGCCACCACTAGCCCCTATGCTTATGAATTTGCACATGAAATAATATATGTATGTATTTTCTCCCGCTGAAGTTTTGCATAAGAAGGCAAAAAAACACCGTTCTAAAAAGTAATAGAAATAGAAAATATATTAATTCATCGGATACAATTATTGGTTCTCTATAAATAGATAAGTGCTTTGCCAATACTTAGCTTCGCCACTGTACAACTTAGTATCTTTGCTATCTTATCCCATTAGTATCTGCTGTAAAGCAATTTGCAGCGTTGTAAAATATTCTCTATTGATAAGATTGCCATCATGCCGAGTCTGTTTTTAATTTATTTTTGAAGATCAGTCACTTGCACACAATCCAGTAAACGAGTGTAAACGGAGCCTCCAGATGGGCGAAACGAACGTGTTTAGATTGGCCTTCTGTGGAACTTTGCTTTTCATGGTGATCTGTGGTCCAGCAAGCGTCACTGCGGATGAAACAGATCCCCCAACGCTATGGAAGCGAATCGTAGCCGGAGTGAAGCACTATCCGTGGCATTCTGATAAGCCGGAGAGGGAGACACCTGAAAATATTCACAACAGAAGCATCATGTGGCAAAGGCTTACAATGGCCACAGTTTTGTAAAAGTATGTGCTGTCAAAGGATACCAGATATTTTTGAAAAGTTTTTACCAGTATTGGCTTTTGGAGTTCTTGATTAACTCAAGAAATAATAACAAAAAAAAAGTCCAACGGAAGCATTTTTAAACATCAAAAATGGTCAGAGATGGGAAGAACTCTGTTCCGAATAGGCAGATAATCTGAAGCCCCATTACAGATTTTTATGTTTTCCAGTCAAGAATTTTCTGCCAGGAATTGGGATTGATTCGATGGAGGATAATATGTATGGATCGCATTCATACGAATTCAGTTGGATCTGCAGTTGAAATCTACTTTTGTGCACAGACACGATACGTATGTAGCAAGTGCAATATCGAGCACTAGGAGCTCGAGTTTATTGATCAAACTTGGAAGCATTTGACATTCTTGGCCAGGTCGCAGTATCCCGACATCTGGTCCCAGTAGAGACCCTTGGGACAAGACGTCAGCACCGGCAAGCCGCCAATGCATATGTAATACTTGCTACAGTCCTCGGGATGGGACATATAGCTCTGCTTCTCGGAAGGGCATGTCAGGGGGGAACTGGCTTCGGCGCGTGGTGGAGAAGGTACTGGCTCCAGGAGCGGTACTGTCGCGTCCGTAGTGGAAGGCTCTGAGAAGACCGTGCTGGTGCCGCTGGTGCCAACAATGTAGCAGACTGTCACCTCCCCCCCGCTGCTGGTCGTAGTCCCACTGGTCTCGTCTATCCCCCCGTCGGCGTCCTGGCGATCGGGCCGCGACTGGCCGTAGCAGACGGCGCTATTGCTTAGCTGGCACTCGGACTGCTCGTAGTTCCAGAATGTGCCACGGCCGCACTGATGACGGTGCAGGTGCCCGTAGGCACAGATGAAGTACAGACGGCAGTTGCTTGGATGGGGCAGAAAGTAGGCGCCAAAGTGGCGGCACTCGATATGCTGAGGGTCGTACTTCGCCATGGGACTTACGGGCAGTCCACTGGCCACGTCAACGGCCACGAAGACGGGGCGCGGCCGCTGGGGCCACCAAATGAGTTCAGAAGAGTCGGCCACAAAGTCGTTGGCCGGCCTGTGACTGGCCTTCAGCAGCTCACTCTGCCTGCAGTTGGTATTCTCCGTCAGATCGCACGCTCCACGAGTCTCGTCGAACTGGAGGCCCTGATCGCAGTAGTGGAGCGTCGGGACTCGCGCGCAGACAAAGTATCCACTGCAGTCCAACGGATGGGGCACCAGTTCGCCATCCGGCCGGCCGTCACAGATCTGCAAGCAGGCAGGTGGATTTAGATGGGAGCCCTACATCCGGATTCGGGATCCGACTACGCTACTCACTTGGCTCAAGTCACCAATTGCGGCCTGAACCTGCAGCTGTCGCCCTCGATCTACGGCATGTCCGGCTCCAAGGCGGAGACAGATGATGCCCAAGACAAATGCCCAAAAGCATTGCATTTCAGTTTTGGCACTTTGACGTGAATTTCGATATAGGTTCTGGTTGGGTTGTGTTTTTCGGTTTCTTTTCGGCACCGCAATATGGTGGCGCCACTCCGTGTGCTTCCCTTTTATACAGCCGATCCTCCACAACGGACCGCTGGGTGCGGCTAATGTCAGAATTAATCGAAAACTTGTGTTTGCAATCTGTGTGTGCTGCGATCTGCCGCAGATCTTGAACATCATACTTTGTATACTAATTTCCCGATGTCGTTGTATTGTGATTTTCGGCGAGGGTAGGCACACGAGTACAATACTCCGCCATGATTGAAATCTAAAAAAATTACTCATTGACTCCTTAATTCCTTAAACCTCAAGGATGATTCATAGAAGTAGTGCATCAAATGATTTGCTTGTGAATGTTATTAACTGAATATTTTTAATATAATACGGATACAATTTTGTTTTTTTTTACACCGGGAAAAGCACTTCCTCTTTATGGTAATCGATAAACGTTCGCTAGATCCATTGACCTGTTTCTTCATCGGTATCGAAGAATTTGGGTATAGCGGTAACTTCGGATTCGGTGGTGGTTTCGGAATCATCGGAAACCGTTGCACCAGCACAAGCTCCGTTGTTTTTTACATAAGTGTCAAAACTTGTGGTGTCCGAAGTCGAAAGACAGCCCTGCTGGTTTTCGTTGAAGTAATACTTGTCCTGGCAGGTTTGGAGTGAGGCCTGGCCGTTGTTGCAGTAGTAGTAGGTGCCGCAGGTAGTACTGCTCACGGCATTCACCCATGTCGTCGTGGCGTATTGACACCGATTGCATCCCGCGACCGGTGTGGCTGTCTTTCGCAGCACACAGCTCTTCGTCCCAACATTATAGTAGTATCCATAGGCGCAGTCAACTGACACCCAAGTCTGTCCTTTGCAAGTGTAGTAGCTGCCGCAGATTTTGTCGTTGGGCTTAACATCACCAGAGGTGTCGCACTGGGTTGGGGCAGTACCCAGGGGGGTATCGGTGACTCTGCTGCACACATTGTCGTTGGCGTACACACATTCGCCAGTTTCCACGTTGTATGCCTGAAAATAGGGGCATTGAATAAGTACAGTGCTCAAGCAAGGTGCAGGGATCCGCGGGATCTCACCGATGAACATTTGTTCGACTGAAGCGTGCCGTTGGTTTGGCAATAGTTCCATGTATCACAAGCCTGGGTGTCGCCAAAGTACTTGCCGTAAGGTACGACTTCGCAGATGTTCGTCAGGTTGGGCTCATCATTGTCTACAGAGCCAGCAATGCAGTTTCCGTAGACACACTGCTGGCTGACCTTGTCGAATGACTGGGTACCCTTGCAGGAGCCCTGTCCCTTGTTGACGCCGTCCAGGCAGTAGTAGTATTGGTTGCACGTTCCCGTAACGGGCACCCAGCTCTCGCCCGTCCTTCCCAGACAAGGATTCTCCACGCCGTAGTAACAGTTCGCTTGAGCAACTGGGGTGCAGGAACCCGTGGATAGACTGAAGGCGTATCCGCTGCTGCAGTAGGCTTTTTGGGGTCCGGTGCTAGTGCACACATAGTAGTAGTCGCAGGAGACGATGCTGCCCAGATTGGTGCCCGTCTTCACCGCCGTGCAGAAGGCCGTCACGTTGTAATTGCCCTCCAGCACGTCGTCGCCCAAGGCAGTGCCCACCGCGAGGCAGAGGATGGCGGCCGAGAGGAATTTGCCTGTGAATGCAGATTGAATTTCGTTATTACCTGTTACACCTGTCGACGCCAGTCTTTGGAGGATGCTTCCGACGGGATTCACTTGCCTGTTGTCATGATTTCAGAGATGGCCGCTTGAACTAATACTGAAAGCTAGTCAATGACTGAATATGGAGTTTTCCCAGCACCTGTCTTTTATACTTGTGTGTGTCGCGGCGTTTCGCTGATGGCCAAAAATATAAATCATATATTTTGAGAGCTTCTTTCAGCGACAAGCCAATTGATAAGCGCTCGATTCCTGAGAATTATAGATACATGATACAAGAAACACGATTCAATTTTATATCAGTTTAGTTTTATTGAATTATCATCGCTATAATCATTTTAATCATAGCCCAGAGACAAGACATTGCGCTGTCGGGTGATTCTCATGCTTCTCGAAGACTACCATGAATGGGTGCAGACCCCACCGACAATCTATGCTCGTTCATATCAGTATAAGTGGCGAACCTTAATAATTGAACAGCGAGAACTAATCAGCGCAGGCAGAAACAGTCGAAATAGGTGGTAGGGTAGGGTAGGGTAGGGTAGGGTAGGGTTATTTTTTGCTCCCAACAGACTCAACCCAAGATTATTACTTAACCTCAACAAAAACGGTCTCGTGGTTTTCCAGCATAGTACTGGTACTACTGATCCCATTTTCTATATGTATGTATGTACATATATGTCAAACGAAGGGATATGCTGAGTTCGCTCAGTGGGCGAAGGGACGGCAGTGGGCTGTTACTAAAAACCTACTCAACGATAAGGTTGTCCCCATCTTTTGACACCCCTGCACACACAGATACGGATCCAAATGGTACGGGAGATAGTCTCCTATAGCTATGCTACTATATATACAATCCTGACAGACAAAATGCTAATCTCGAATACTCAAGGGGCTTCCTTTAATTGCAATATTTGATAAGCAAAAGCATTATACGGGCTTTGCTGTGGTATTAGTGGCAGTAGCTTTCGTTGTTGTTGATGCGCTTGTGGTCGTGTTTGTGGCTGCCGTTGTTGCTGGCACTCCTGATGCCTTTGTGGGATTGCAGAAATCGAACTGTGGCTCCGTTTCGTAGACGCAGCTTCCAACATTCTCGTTGAAGTAGTAGTTCACGGGGCAGGTCTCAATCGCCTGCTGCACGCCATTGACGCAATACAAGTACTGGTCGCAGCTGCTGTTCGAGTAGGCATTCACAAAGGTCTTCGTGGAGCCCAGGCAGCGATCGCAGTCATTGCGCGCCTGCATGCGGCTTACGCATTGCATCGAGACGGTGTCGTAGTACGAGCCAGTGGCACATGTTATCAGGGAGTAGGTGCTGCCGGTGCAGAGGTAGTACTGGTTGCACGCGGTGGCGGCCTTCTTTTCGCCAGACGTGGTGCAGTTCGATGGGGCTGCGGCTGCGGTCAACGAGGGGTCGTTGGTAACCTGTGCGCAGGAGCTGGAACCACGGTAGCCACAGCTCCGTCCATTCACGTCGAAGATCAACCCGTTCTGGCAGGTGCCGGTATGCAGCACATTGTCCTGGCAGTAGTTCCATCCACTGCAATTCGAGGCGCTTCCAAAGTAGAAACCGTTCTCGATTATGGAGCACAGATTGAGCGACACTTCTAAGCTGGCACCGCTTCCGTTGTCCACGGTCGACACTGTGCACGCATACTGGTAAGGATAGACACAGGCCGATTTGGTGGGATCGAAGTTCTCGCCGCTGGGGCAGCTGCCGCTCAAGGCGCCCGAGGCACTGCAGTACCAGTAGCCACCACAGGAGCTACTGTCCGCCTGGAAGGTGCCCACCGCCTTCCCCAGACAGGGCTGGCTCTTGCTTGCGCAGGTGCTCTGCGAGGATGCCACACACATCTGCGCGTCCTTGTCGAAGTACTGCCCGTTGGAGCAGCTCATCAAGCTGGCCGTCGCGCCCTGGCATTGATAGTAGCTGGAGCAATCCGCCTGGCTGGACACGAACATGCCGTCGGGTACCATCAGGCAGAGGGCACTCATGTTCAGATTTGCAGCAGCCGGAGCCGTGCAGCTGCAGAGCAGCAGCAGGAGGGCGGCGAGCATCGATCCTTGATCTCTACCTATTGGAGAAACATTAATGATTGTAGATTGTATTCTATTTGTTCTATGTAGAATGTGTAGTATAGCCATGTGTTTCAGCAGCACCCACCCAACATATTTGGAATTTTCTTCAGTGCGCGTTCTGGTAGCTTACAGTCGAACACTGTTGGGGAGCCCTTGCCTTGGCAGGCTTTTATATGGATCCGAGCCGACATTTATCGTCGGCGGAGGAGGAATTGCCCGGATCGCATTGATCGACGACACGTCAAGCACGAGACATGATGAATCGAACCTCCCCACTTATGGTCAAAATTATTTTGCATGATCGATGGCTATTCACGAATTGCACCCATAAATAGCACGACTACGCAATTTGCAGAAAGAACCCCTGCCTCCTGTGCAGAAATCAACGAAAATAAAGGAAAATATGGTCTCATTATTTAATCGCCAATCGCTAAATTTATTTATTGTTAAGCAGACGTAGGAAATACTTTGCATAACACAAGACTTTGCCTCCTTTTCCTCGTATCAAAACCATAATCAGTTGTATTTTTGTCATGAACTGGTCATCGGAGTTTATTTATACCATGATGAACATACATTTGTCTTATCAGGCGAACGACTTTGGAGTCGAAAAACAAATACATATACCGGAATAAACCATATTTGCACCACCTCATGCATATGTATATTTCTGTTAAAGTATTTGTATGGCTGCACTGACTTTAAATTCGAATTTTTATAACTACCCAATGATCGTAATATAGAGGGATTTATTTTAGAACTTCCTCTTCTCAGGATCAATAGACGGTCTTTCAGAGTTGATCCGTGACAATTTGCCTTCCAGCACCCTCATGATCATTATTTTACGAAAGAATGTTCTTGTTCCATCAGCTCTTTGCCACTCTATGCGAGTGTCTGGCCACTCTCTGGGTGTCCTCTGGAAAAAGGAACGTCTATTGCTGATCCTCTATATAATACGCAGTTTGTAAATCGACCACCAGCCTCGGAGCTCCCAAATATATCAAAAAATGTCAAATTAGGCTTTAGCAGCATTTGATAAAACATAAATATGAATATACGCTCAACCCCAATTTTAGCCATTGACTAAAACTGACGACAGTTCCGACTGTGAAGTAATGCTCAGAAATTTATGGACATGCGGAACGCCCGAACCATCATCGTTGTGTTTCTGTGCTGTATACGAGTATAAAACCAGTGCTGTGCGCCTTCCAGTTGAACGTTGCCGTTGCCACGATTTCAGCTTGGAGCGTTGATAAAACATTTTGAGTCTTCTCCAATGCCCCATACAAGCAACATGAGTACGTAAAAAAATACATCGTTTGTACGAATGGAATATCACTAGACAAAATTCTGAGAGAGCATCTAAATAGTCTTGAAAGTTTGTGCTAATGTTTATTTAATTTAAATTTATTCGCACTAGATGCCGGGATATTTGTGATCCTTGGACTAGCCCTGGTGCCACTGGGTAGCGCCTCCTTTGACCCGAGTGTCATCTGCACCCTGGTCGTCAACGGGACGAAAATCAACGATCCCCGTGCGTGCAACGCCTGGATAGAGTGCGTCGATGGGAAGCCAGTCGCCGGAACCTGTGGCGCTGACCTCTTTTACGACAGAGAGAGCGAGGAGTGTGTGGCCTCGGGCAGCATCAAGTGCGTGTCGAGCGATCCATGCGCATCGGTTCTGAATGGCTTCACCGCCGATCCGTACTCCTGCAGCAGTTACTACTACTGTCTGAACGGAAAGGGGACGAAAGGAACGTGCCCCACGGGAATGAACTATAGTGCCGGAACGGAAGACTGCATACGGAACTTTCCCTGCCAGGTGAAGATGGACCCGGACAGCTACTGCAACATCCTGCCCGACGGCGTCTTCATCAAGGACACCACCAACTGCAACGGCTGGCAAATGTGCTGGGACGGCCAGGTGCTCAATGGCACCTGCCCTGGCACCTTCTATTTCAGCGCCGGCTCTGCGCGATGTGACTATCCGCAGATGGTGGAGTGCGACTTCACCGTGGCCCCGGATATCGACGAGATGGGCGTCTGCGCCCATGCTGGCGACTTCGTGTCCGATAACATCTCTTGCAACGGCTACTACTACTGCCACGAGCTAGAGGACGGTCAAATGGCCCTGGAGCATGCCGTGTGCTCTGACGGAAGGTTCTTCCTGGCCGTCGACGGTGGTGCCTGCGTGCCCCGCTACAAGGCGCCCTGCGCCTACGACCGCTGCGTGGGTCTCGGCAATACGACCATTCAACTGGCCAGCGAGTCGGATGACGGTTGCAGGGGATTCGCCTTATGCCAGGACGGAGCCAGCATAGGCGCGGGCACCTGCCCAGGCGAAGAGTACTTCGATGAGGTGACTCAACGCTGCACAACGCAGGTAATATCTTATCCCGCCTGCCAGCTATCAGCTGCAGCTTCGACCAAAGTCGTGTCGCAAACAGCTATGAATGATGACACGGACGGGACCAGCCCCAGCCCCAGCCCCAGCCCCAGCGCCAGCGCCAGCGCCAGCACTGAAGCCTCGTGAGCAGCGTACGCAATCGGTTTTAATTAGACTCTTGTTAGATACCTTAGGCCTCGACAATAAATACGACTCTGCTGTCAATGTCAGGCGAGTATTATCAAATCTTAATAGCGATTAAGTCACTTTGTCCTCTGGGTAGATTTCTGTGTATCGATTGGCCAACATAATAAATACAGCACTAATAAAACATGATCCGGACATGACGTCATGCATTTTTGGGAATGCACAGCTATGCATGGAGGAAGAGGCGCCAAAAGCTCTTCAGATGCCTCAGCGGTTTTTGTAGACTGCTGAAGTAAAGGATCGAGGCTACTAGTGAGTCTACGCAGGACTGTGAATGGCAGCAGCAGGCAAAGAAGCCGCTTACTAGCGACTAATAGTGAAAGGCCAACCAAATAACCTTTAAAATGATTTTATTGTTTTCAAAAATATTCTTAAGGAAGATGAACACATTTTACACACATTTCAAAACGTTTAACCCTACTTTCGCAGTACTACTTTTGGCACTCACAAGGAATTGTCTGCAAGGCAAGGCTTTATCTGCAAGTCAGAGGATCCCTTGATTTAATGTTTTGGGTGGTCAAAAACTCATTCAAAACTTTTAAATGGCAATATATAAAAATAGCCATGGCTACGGACATAAACGGGGCAGCCTACGTATTCCATAATCGGGCACAATATTCCATAATAAACCTTTATTAGGCCGCTATGAACATATTACAATTGCAGCTTTCTACCTCCTGTCATGCCTCGGGGGATCCATGAATCTTCTTCCACACATGCTGTCACATGACTACTTTCCGGCCTCTCTTATTTCTCAGAATTCCCGCTAATCGGAGGCCATATTTATTAAATACACCAAATACACAATTATCTATACACTAAAAAAATAAAAAAAAAATAAAAAAAATAATAAGTATATCCTTTATGGATACTAGAGCTCTACAGCAGATTCCGAATCATGTGGAGGAACATAATTTTTCTGGCAAACACTCTCCTGAAGCGGGTGCCTGCCCACCTGTTCAGTCAGTGGCAAGATCGGAACACGGAAATAGTATAAAAGTCAGCACCCTCAAATGTTGAATCTGTTATCGGGCTATCAAATAACGGTATGGCACCGAATTCTTCGAACCCGAAATCTGGCGACGAGGGTACTCTTTTAATTAAAATTGAAAATTGATAATGTCTGGGCACTTGAACTGTAACGAAGAGCGATTGCCAAAAGCGGTATGCGGCATGTGGTATGCGGCGTAATTTGATGGGGAAGGCCGTACCCGTACCCCGTACCAAATAACTCTTCTGGAAGGAACCTTATCGAGGCACAGCTCGAGCTCTGCAAATGAACATTTGCTGTCTCCTTCCTCTGGCCACGTCCCCATCTCCATCTCCATCTCCATCTTCGTCCCGATCCTCATCATTCGAGTGGAGTCCCATCATGGACTACGAAAGACGAGTATTCAAATCATTCGAGTAAAATGATGCTGAGGAGGATGACTAGAGGTGAACGTGGATCGTGCATTCTTCGAACAGGCATAAAACAGGCCTATCATTTTATCGTTAAGTTGAACTATGAACTAGCCCCTATAGTAATATATAAACCGGCATAGCTATTGGAAGGAATTGGAATGCATTATTGAAGTTTAATATTAATAAAAGTATGCAAAAAAAAAATTCAAAATTACAATATCTCGTGTTCTACCGTGTTGGGAAAATGTTTAATCGTGCGTGCTAGTGTTGCTTCCATGTATGCCCATCCTCTAACTTGTGACCTCCACCATGATACGCTCGGGTTTTATTTTAATTTACGGGTGAGCCAATTACGGGTTAGACAATTCTCGGCGAGCAGGCAATGTAGTTGTAGTTGATGGGCGTGCAGCCCTGGCTGCGCTCATCGAAGTAGTAATTCTCCGGACAACGGCCGGTGCCGGCGGTGACGCCGCCCGAGCAGCGGGCATATTTTTGGCAATCATCGACCACGTTCACGTAGGACATGTTATTGCCCACGCAGCGGTCCAGCAAACAGCGAACGTTGAGACGGTCGCGACAGGAGAGTTTCTCGATGTCAAAGTACTGGCCGAGGGCGCAGCTCAGATGCTGGGGCTCCGTGTCGTACTTGCCGTTGACGGGTTTGCCGCAGATGTAGTAATGGCTACAGGACTGGTCATCCGCGTGGTATCCAGCGGTTCTGTTCAGGCAGTATGTGTTCTCCGGCTCCGGCAGGGCGGCCGTGGCGTAGCAGGACACCAAATCGATGTCCACGCAGTAGCCCCTGTTCACGTCGTAGGCCTTCTGAGGTTCACACTCGCGGGTGTGGAGGATATCGTTTACGCACTCGTAGTACCTCTCGCAGTGCTCGGTGTGAGCCAGGCGCGTGTTGTTGGGCAGGGCCCGACATGCCGGGCTGGTGTGCGTCTTCTGGCTCTGCGGGCACGTGTACTGGTTGTTGTAGACGCAGGAGCGGGAAGTGGGATTGAAGATCAGCTCGCTGGGGCAGTTGGCGTGGATCTGGGCGTGGCCCTGGCAGAGGATGTAGCCGCGACAGTTGCTACTGCTGGGGTCTTGCACGAAGCTGCCTTCGGTCTCGTTGGCGCACAGGTTAGCGGGGGCACCGACCTCCACACCTGTGTAGGGACACCTGACGCTCGCGGCCACGTTGCAGCGGCCCAGCTGCTTATTGTAGAACAGTCCGGTGGCGCAAGCGCCTTGCTCCAGGCTGGAGCCGTTGGCCGGGCAGGTCACCCAGTTGTCGCAGGTGGTCGGGCGCAGGAAGCTCGTCTCCCACGGCAGCAGGCTACAAATCTCCTGGACCGAAAGGTAATCGAACTCGTCGATCGCATTGCTGCCCAAGGCTATGGCTGCCAGGCTGGCCAGAGCGAGCAATGACAGGATTCCCCTAGCTGCATTTGAGAAACACCGGAGTGCACCGGAACGAAGGTGAATGAGGGATGAAGGAGTGGATAATTGGAGGGGAAGGCACCCTGGCGGCCTGACACCTACCTTGCTTCATAGTCTATATCCGTGCGGAGGAGAGTTTTATTGGTATCCTTGAATTTTAATTGCGGTGCGATCCCTTGTGAGCAGCAACCAAAACGTGAATGATGCGCTGTCAGGGGGCCGCCTCCCCCTTAAATATGCAAAGAGCATTCTGCTCTTTTCTTCGGCGAAAAACAATTTCCAAAATGCACCTGACTAGGGAGTCGCTTGTCGCGGTGTCTGATATCTCAATCAGAGGACCAGATAGCATTCGCACTCCGATGTACGATAGTGAGAAGCATGTAAATTACACGGCATAACATTGTCATTGATCTCATTGGCACTCGAGCGGAGCACCACCGACACGACAGACACCATCAATATACAATATACAATATACTCGTACGACATACACGTACAAGTACACGTAGAAGATGCGATATCGGATTGATCTGCACGGCATCGGCATCGGCATCGGCATCGATAGCGAGATTGGATGTGTCGGAGATGAGAGTGAGAGCCGTGGCATTGATATTGCCATTGAATACCAGGCACTCCATGTCATCAGCAGTCGATGATGGAGTGTCGAACGACGAAGGGAAATTGAATTACTTAGAATACCGAACTGATAAAATCTTGATTGTTTTTCCCCCTTCTGATGGCTCCATTTTTTGGAAATATACGAGTATGTGCATGTATCGTTTTACCAAATGTCCATAGCACTCTTGTTGAGGTTGACTCCTGCTGCCACTATTAACCATAGCTCATTATTAAATGTCCACAGTTTCATAAATATTTTGGAATGGTCACAAGTTCGGATCAGTTTGCGATGATTTACTTCTAAGCAGAAGTAATGATCAAACCTATGAATCAGTTCTTAAAATTCAATAAACGTAAGTGACCTCTATATTTCTCTACATACTAGAGCTTTGCTGCAAAAATCTTTGAGCATTTTATAGCACTTTCTAAACTCTCTAAAAACTCTCTCTCTCTAATTGTTGCCACACTATCTTTTATCGGTACTCTCTATTCTTGCTCTGTTCATCTGGAAGAATTTTCCGCTGTAAGTGGATGGGTAATAGGAGCCATAGATCGGATACATTTACAGCATAAACTCCGATCAAATGACAACTACAGCATCACCTCTACACCTCTAATAGTCTTCGAATTCTGCAGATCTTTTTTTTTAGAATGCTTGAATGAGACTATCCATAGAATACTTTCGAATTTCTACATAAGCTATTTCGCCTAATTATTAAATTTGAATTAAGTTGAAATACCATTTCAGTGCCGAATAGAGCATTTATTAGGGATTAAGGTAATTTTATGTGCTTGGCTCGCAAATAGTGTATTTAGGTGGTTCTGTTGTGCATATGTTATGTACCTCATCGTAGTACTTGTTTGAGGTTGGACAGTAGTTTGTAGCGCTGCTCGAGCAGATTTCATACTCCGTGCAAGCTGTATTGAATACAGCCATGAAGGGCGAAGCAACATTGCCGCAACGGTTGAGTGGGCAGGCGTAAGCAGCGGGTGACACGCATTGCTGTGTCGTAGGATCGAAATGGGTTCCAAATAAACACGAATTCCAAATTCCATCCGCAGTAGTTGATGTACAGTAAAAATACCCATAGCATGTTTTTGTATCACTCACATAGAAGGTTGTGGCTGAACCGATAGCTTTACCGTCTTTGCACACGCCACTAACTTCCTGTCCAACAGTATAGGGACTGCCTGTATTACTACCACTGCTGCCGGAACCGCCAGTGCATGGGTCGGTGGATTGGCAATTTCCGCTGCCCGCGTTGTAGAACATGTTGGTGGGACATGATCCTGGTGTACCGTATCCGTTGTTGCACAGCAGATAGGAGCCGCAGTTATTTGGGTCACCGACGAAAATATCATTTTTCATGAAACGGCAGATGGAGTCCTGAGGACAAGCCGGTCCCCAAATGCAAGCATTGCTGTGGGCGGCATAGACTCCGCCGGTACCGCAGTAGCCGTAGTCCATGGAGCCGTTTCCGAAGCAGTAGCCATACTTGTTGCAATCATCGAGCACTGCCACATACATAGGAGACTTGGCGGCGGCGCAGGTAGCCACCGCGCTGGTGGTGCAAATAGTTGAGTTGGCAAATCCGCAGGTTGAGGTCTGGGCATTGAAAACAAGGCCGTTCTTGCAAGTGTTCCAAGACACCAGCTTCTGGCCCTGGCAGTAGCCCCATCCAGTACAGTCGGCGGGGTTACCCACGTAGCCGGAGCCCGACCACTGGGCGCACAAATCCTCCATCGAGTAGCTGGACACCTGCCCGGCCAGCAGCAGACAGGCCGCAAGGGCGCAGACCTTCATATTGAAACCTGCAAGGGTAGAAGATCGAAAAGATAGAGGGTTCAGTTACGGTTTGGATGCCACGCAGGACTCCTCGCCACCAGTCCGAGCCCTACCTCCCATTTGGATCGGACTTGGAGTTAATTACGACAGATTCACTCGGTATTCGATATTCCACTTGAGAGAGCGATGCTGGTACTAGCCTGACCAAAAGCTGGCTGTGCGCTTTTATAGGCGCTCTGCCAAACCCTGCCAAGCACAGCCTGGCAGCGCGATAATTAAAAAATTGTCAGACACTCCAGCAGCTCCGCAGATAAGCCATCCGGCAGCAACGCAGAATATCGTATTCGTAATTAAAATTCTGAGTCGAAGTCGGAGTCAGAGTCAGAGTCGAGCGATAAGATTTGTTCCCGTCCCCGGACTATGGTAAACCACGCACCTTTCATCCTTGTAATTGTACTCGCACTGGTAGTCCCCGTCAGTGGCGCTGGACGTTTAATGTTATACTAGCGGACTCGGCCACCGTAGACCGCCTTTTAAGCTATAATCGGCACCTGGACAGCGTGCCCTGTCCGTGTCTTAGTAGCCAGCTATTTTGACATGACACCCCTGACGGAATTCGGATAATCAGAGACTGATTGCGTGCGTTTTCTTTGTCTATAATTGATTTTTAATTTAATGGCATGGGACTTATTGATCACTTTACTCGCTGCCTTGATATTTTTTACTATCTAAACTTTCATTTTCCAGCGATCCTTGGTCTTTTTCTCTTCTACGTTTCACCGATACTACATATATATATATGTATGTATGTACATATATATATGTACATACATATATCCTCTCTCGTAACCAAAATAATTAATATATTTTAGATATTCGCTCACTGAATGGTACTTTTATTTAAGGCAGCTTTATCGTATATTAATTAAAGTGGTCTGGTAGCGTCTATAATCATACTGATAAGACCTGAAATTCCTTGAAAAAGTCATCTGATAAATGAATTCATGCATACTTTCTATAAACCCATAAACATCCCATAAAAACGTTGCCAAAAAATCCGTAGGGATGGATGGTCAGTTTACGATAATATGAATTCGTCATATGAAGTCTCTGTTTTAAGGGTCTATAAGAATTATCCGATCACGACCCGTTTTTTTGAATGCCCTACGTACATTTAACAGGCTCAATCTTGATTTATTGTCGTTGAATGATTGATTGCCTGTTTTGGGTAGCAGTTATGGTATCTTATCTGCAGTTCGGATTGCCCCCTACAATTTTCCGTTCTCCTAAAAGCAAACTTTATATACTAAAATATGATAGACCCGAAAGTATGCACCATTTTATATAATTATGCAAACAGATCGTAAGAGCATAGAGTTCAAGGAGATACATATGAATCAAAACTTAGCCCCAGTCCCCTTCTTTCATGTTGTTCATCAGAGCACCTACTCCAGCACTCATACGTAAGTATCCTTTATTGATATTGCGGGTCTCCATGTGGTATTTGATCAAGCCTTCACCTTCACCTTCAAAAAGCTCTTGAAAGCTCTCATTCTTTAAATTTAAAACAAGTATTGCACAAAATTTTTGTGTTCAAATCAAAAAAAATTACAGTCACACCAAAGAAAAAATCACTTTTTATATAATATATATTTATTACTAAAAGCAGTTATACATACATATGTATTTACGAGCATGCACCTAAATAGTGCTTAGTGATTTTATGACTTCTTTCGGCGGCACACCAACTGATGACCGCATTACACCAGTGTGCCGCTGCACACGCATTGCGGAACAATGCTTTAGAATACAAAATAATGGTTTGTTATAGGGCGATGTATGAACACCGCCAGCTGATCGAAATTCTGCTGCCTATTTCCATGCTCGTTCTCTCCTGCTTATTTTCATGCTCGTTCTCGCCTTCTTATTTTCATGCTCGTTCTCGTTCTCTTTCCTTGCCAGTTATCTTATCTGTTGTATATACGTTGTCTTTTACCAATTGTCAATGGGCAATTATAGTAAAGTCAAAATTTGTATTCTATCGGCTGCGTGATTCAGCAATGGACCTCTATTCGAAACGCAATCATTTTTCAGCGTTGAATGAGTATGAAATATATTCTAGCTAATATTCAAATCTTATTATATTCAGAATTTAGTCAATGAACTGCTTGCAGAATTATTTCAAAGGAAAACGAATCAAGCCTTTAGGTTTCAGCGGCGACCTGCTTCAACCAGAGCTTCAGGTCTAGTGGATGCACTCCATGCAGGATAAGTTCTGGGGAAAGCGAACCGGCGCTGCACTGATTGACTTAAAATAAAAATAATAACCGACCAGATCTTTTTTGTCGTGCCTTTGTATTTAGAGATATATGTAGGTTTGAAAGCGTCATACCATCTACATATGTCATATACCCCATATTCGATTACATTTCAGAGGGTATTTTAATCATAGTTAGTAGCTTATCTTTCTTTTTATACCCTTTCAGAGAGTATAGCACTTGCAGCCAAACCATGCAGAAACCATGAGGTAGCAATATATTTACACGTATTCCCGAACACTAACAGCCACGACGACTTAGCCAGGAGCGGAGATTTTTTCAGCGTCGTCTTATGAGAAGTCAAGTATCCAATAAATTACAAATCTTCTCATAAATTGTCTGCGTTTTGTCGTTCTGCAGGGTGTTTAACTTCCAACAAAATCAAAAGCTAAATAGCTGCCAAAAATGATTACTGATCCTTCGATATGCGAGGCAATAAAGCCAACCGAAGTGCGAAATGTGTGACCTGTAATAGCCATTAGTTCGGCACCAGTCGCCCTGCCGAGCACATCATTCCACGACTACTTATACTGAAGATCGCTTACAATGAGAGGTTGGTACCGTCGCGACGGTAGATTTGCCAGAGTAATGTTTCTCCATGTTTTCCTTTGCAGCTTTCGGAGCACATCTTAACCTGGCAGTGGTGATGGGCCCGGCTCTGCTGATGGTCCTAGCCTGCCCCATGGCTGTTGCTCGAGAGGAGGACATTTGCAGGTTGTTCTCCAACAACACGGTAATCCGTGACCCCGACTCCTGCAGCCAGTACATCACCTGTATTGACTCTGTCAGCATTTACGGCTCCTGCAGCGGAACCACGCCGTTCTTCGACAAAGACACGGGGAAATGCGTAAAGAAACTGACGGACGACACGTCGTGTTATGTGTCCTGCGTGAATGCCACAAGCCAGTTCGTGGCTGACCCGAAATCCTGCTACGGATACTATTACTGCCTGGACCAGGAAACGCCCATGTTCGGCACCTGCCCGCAGGACACGCACTTCAATGCCACTACCCAGACCTGCACGCGGCTCTACGAGTCGGATTGCACCGCCAGCGACTTCGAGTACTGCAACATCGTAAAGAACAAAGTGAACTTCGACAACCTGCAGTCTTGCGCCAGCTACCACGTGTGCGAAAAGAACCTCTTGAAGACAAAGACCTGCTCGTCCCAGTACTACCAGGCCAGCACCGGCGTTTGCGTCGCCAAATCCCTGGTGGACTGTGTCGCCCATCCACTGCCCAGCAATGTGTGTGGCAAGGCAACGAAGCCGTATGAAAACAAGTTCGTCTCGGATGGAGCCACATGTCGGGGATACTTTTTCTGCGCCAAGCAGTCGAATGGCACCCCAGATCCCAATCCCACTTGGAACCAATGTCCCCAGGACACCTTCTTCGACGCCAGCACCGAGACCTGTCGCAGCCCTAATCTCGTGAAATGCACAGAGGATCGCTGTGACGGTCGTTCGCTTCCCTTCGTGATTAGCAGCACCAAGGGCTGTCGCAACTACCTACGTTGCATCGATGGAGTAGCTTTCGACGAGCAGTCATGTGGCAATCTATTCTTCGACGAGGCAAAGGGCGGCTGTGTCTCCAGCGTTGTATCCTACGCCATATGCTAGATGTTGCTATACAATAAACCGCAGAGATTTAATAGTGCTCATACATTTATTTTGTATAGTACTCGTAGAGGGTACATATATGGTCGGGGGGTGCTCATCCAGTTGTTATGGAAACGTTTTCAAGTTTTCGACCGGCTGCATCGCCAACGCCGGATGACAAGTAGACTTTTGAACAGTACTCTTAGCTGGAAATCGCTTAAAGGTGTTTATTTTTAATGAAATCTAAGACGTGCTGGTTAGGACTTTATGACTATGGCCATTGTTTCACTTTCGCTTTGGCCACCATAAAATATTATGGCGCTTTCGATTTCATGGCTATCAGTTGGGCCTTGTTTGGAAACTGTTTACGTTCTGATTACAGAAAACAAAAAAAAAACAAGGGGGAGCTTTGTGAGTTGCTGCTGCAGCCGCAACTCTACATTTCTACCCGGTACATAGTCAGTATGGCTACATTGAGCGACAAAGAGTGCGTGCGAGAGAGACAGAAAACGTGTCTGAACGTGTCGTCGGGCGCTGCGAGGCCACTGCCAATTGATTTGTTCCTTTTGGCCATAAAAATTATCCGGTCTTATCCAATCTGGTAGATATGGTCCTTCTCTATGATTGTAGGTCTCAAATTTCTTCGTATCTTCAAATTTTTGGATGCCACAGATTTTCGTCCTTTGCGGGGGTGGAAGGGGGTGGGGCGAAATTTTGAAATTCTCTTGTGCAGGTTCGATATCACAGGAGTGTGGATACCAAATTTGTTGCTGGAGCTCTTATAGTCTCTGAGATCTAGGCGCTCACTTTTAGCGACAGGCAAAGCTGACTGTGAAACGTGTGCGTTAGAGAGAGACAGAGCGAGAGAGAGTGAAATTTGTTCATCATTCTGGCTATAATAATATTACGATCTGGTTTAGATTCTGCAGTCTAGAAAATATAGTTACTTTCTGCGATTCTGGTTGGTTTGGTTTTCTCGTACAAAATTTCGTTGCTTTAGCTCCTATAGTCTCTAAGCGCTAGACGCTCATAGGGACGAACAGACGGACGGACGGATAGACATGGCTCAATCGATTCGGCTATTTATGCTGAGCAAGAATATATATACTTTATGGGGTCGGAAACGCTTCCTTCTAGACGTACACACATCCACTTTCACCACACATCTAATATACCCCTATACCCATTTATAGTAACGGGTATAACAAAAAACAATTAGGTGTTTTGCCTTATCAGGCAGTGGCAATACCCACAACACAATCACGATGTGACTACCGAACCGTGATTTATAAATATCAATTAATTAATAGCATATAAAATGGCATTTACGATCAGCAAACGGAGATCTCTGCAGAAACACCGCCAACGCACCATGCAGAACTACGAGTAGTGTCGCATCCAGGCTTTTTAATTAGTGAATTGTTAGTGTCTGCCTGCAGTGGAGCAAGGAGCATGGCCATAGGATCTACAATAAGTGGACGAATATATCAATGGCTTTGCGCTCTTTTGCAAGCATCGATAAGATTCGCACACCTGCTATTAATGGGGCAATAAAGTGTATAGGGTGTGGTGTATTTGGTATATGGTATCGGTATCAGTATCAATAGTCATGTTCCCTTCTTAAATAAAAACTTTTTCCATTCGGAAATCTCCATTTAGTTGGCAACAATTGCTACTAGAAGCCACATCAAATACTTCATATTTTTGTTTTCTTCTGGAAATTAAACGGAGTTTCCCAATAATTAGCACAGAATGCTATGTAAGTTTTTATCTGCTTGCAATCCCAAGGGTAGAAATAGACAACAAAACAAACAGAGATAGGGTGCCTTTCTATTGGGGACCTTGAATGCTAAAAATATACATACTTATATTGTATACTCAATATAAGGTCGGGGATGTATCCCTAATAAATGGATATTCATGAAATCAATCTTTCTTGTCTTTGGTAGCGAAAAACGCTTGTGGGGTGCTGTTTGGAGCCTGCCTGCTGATCTTCTGCCTGCCGGGCTTCTCGGAGGCCGTTGGCGATTACTCGGAGCTGTGCCGCCTGTTCAAGAATGGCACCAACATCCGGAAGCCCGGCACCTGCGACGAGTACATCCATTGCAGCGACGGCGAAGGCATAATGAAGTTCTGCGAGGGCACCACGCCCTACTACAACAGCATCAAACAGGAGTGTGTCAAGGAGCTCTCCAACAGTCACTTGTACTGTGGCAATCGGTGCGAGGGCCGGAACGGCACCTGGGTGTCCGATCCGACAAACTGCGAGCAGTACTTCTACTGTCGTGATGGCGTGCCGCTGGCAGGTGCCTGCCCCATTGGTCAGCATTTTAGCGAGTCGAGCCAGGCGTGCATGCACGGCGTGGACTCGCAGTGCGTGGACGTGGCGAACATATGCGAGATCCTGCCGGAGAATACCGCATTTCGGTACGAGGATGACTGCAGCTACTACTACGTGTGCAAAAACTCTAAGCAAACGCTGACTAAGTGCAAATCGACGCTCTACTTCAATGTGGAGACCGGCGACTGCGTGGCGCGCAATCTGGTAGCCTGTGATGCCCACTCCAAGGAGGGGGTATGCGCCGCCAGCAGCAAGGTCGTCTTCAAGTCGGATTCAGCCACATGTCGTGGATACTTTATCTGCAAGGCCTTCGGCACCGTGGCCGACCTGGATCCCTTGTGGAACCAGTGCCCGGAGGGCACCTTCTTCGACGAGGGGCGCCAGCTCTGCGGCAAAGCCACTGACGTGGTGTGCACCCACAACCGATGCGATGGCAGGGGCACCATGCTGGTCGTCAGCAGCAAAAACTACTGCCATAACTACATTCAGTGCGTCGATGGCCTGGAGGTGGCGGAGAGTACCTGCCACTTTGATCACTTCTTCGACGAGGTGATTCAGGCGTGCAGCAGCAAGATCATCTACGACAACTGCTGTGACGAGCAGCCCAATAGCAGTTAAGATCGGATCATAATTACAGAAAGATTAACCACTGATAAAAGAGGGGGCGTGTTTTTCCTGATTCGAGGCGTTCTGATATCAACGTTTGCAGTTCCCAATTTAAATAGCAGTTACACAAACAAACAGTCTGCCCAGTTTTTCGACTGTAGTGCGTTTCCATCGATAGGTATTATGTCGATAGGAGATTAGTGTGACCAATTGTATATTATGGGAAAAAGTCAAATAGAACGCGTATTTCGGCACATAAACAATTTTACAATTTGCAATAAAATAAAATGTCGAAAAAGCGATTGAAAACGTTAACGTAAAATCAAAAGCATTGTGTGTGTCAGGCTTGTGGGTTCCAGAACTAAGCTTCAAACCGTTTCTTGTCGATTATTTTCGCAACAAGTCGCGCCCAAAGGAACGGATCCGACCCCAACCGCCAGGCCATTCCATTCGCATCGTTCGCCGCAACCAAAACGTGTCGCAAAATCAAAGTTAACTGAAGTTAAGGATAATATTTGAGATGCATTGGACCCTGCCCAGCCTCTAGTCGCCCGATCCGGCTCAGTTGTGCGCGGGCCAGTGGCCCCCCAGCTTCTGACTCCCTGCCTCCTCCCTTGTAAGTTGTGTCCGTCTATGTATCCATCTTTTTCGCGGCCGCATTTCATTTTGTTTATGCTACGACACAGGGCGAAGAACACAGATTCCCCATCGCCGACTCCCAGAGGATTCGGAGGAGACCTGCGATGAAGACAACCCAGGCCATCGGCGGTAGCAACAGCGCCAGCGCCAAAGTGCCCATAGACTACGTGACTCTGATCAGCGACGACTCGGATGGTGAGCCATCCCCGAAGAGGACAGCCTCAGCACCTGCTCCTGGCAGCCAATCGAAGCAAAAAATCAACGACGATGACTCCAACGATGCCCTTGCAACCAGCACCAGTGCCAGTGGCAGTGCCAACGCCAACGCCAACGATGAACGTCGTACGAGTCGCCGCAACAAGCCCAAAGTGGACTACACAACAAACAAGCCCAGCACTAGTGGCGAGGCGGCAGGCAGTGAAAAGGGCAGCGCTGGACCCACGGCCAGCACCAGCAACCCGTCGGGGGAGAAGCGCGTCCAGGCCCAGGCACAGTCGGAGCCACGCTCCCGTAAATCGGAGACTACTGCTGCTGGGGCATCTGCGGGCGGGGGTTCGGCCAACTCGGGCACGCGCAGTGCCCCATCCACAAATGGAGAGTCGCGAAACCGGGATATGGGCACGCCCACAGTGCTGTCAGGGGAGGAGGGGGCTGTGTTTCAGTCCCGCTTGCCCTTTGGGAAGATGACCCCTAACGAGGAGGCCTGCTTTCCCGACATCAGCCGCTCGGGCATACTGGGACACCGCGTGTTCCTTAACATCCGCAACAACCTGCTCCACATGTGGGTGGAAAATCCTAAGCTGCAGCTGAGCTTCAGGAGCGCGCTAAAAGCACTGCCGCCGCCCTTCGACAGCGAACCGAACCTAGTGCGGCGCGTCCACTCGTTCCTGGAGCGACATGGGTTCATTAACTTTGGCATCTTCAAGCGCCTAGTGCCCATTCCGGCCAAGAAGCTGGGCAAGGTGATTGTCATCGGTGCGGGTATCTCCGGATTGGCCGTTGCCCAGCAGCTGCAACAGTTCGGGATGGACGTCATTGTGCTGGAGGCTCGGGATCGAGTGGGCGGACGCATTGCCACCTTCCGGAAGAACAGCTACATAGCGGACCTTGGGGCTATGGTGGTGACGGGCGTGTACGGCAATCCGATGACCATATTGAGCAAGCAGATCGGCATGGATCTGGTGCCCATACACCAGACATGTCCGCTCTACGGCCCGGACGGCAAGCCAGTGCCAAAGGAGAAGGACGACGTCATTGAGCTGGAGTTCAACCGACTGCTGGAGTCGGCCAGCTACCTGTCCCATCGCCTAGACTTCAATTATGCCGGAGACTGTCCTGTGTCGTTGGGCGATGCTCTGGAGTGGGTCATAAGCATGCAAGAGATGCAGGCCATGAACAAGCGGGCGCAACATATGCAGGATATTATTGCTGCCCAGAAGAAGATCATCGAGCACCGGAAGCGGATGAAGGCCGTCAAGCAGACCATCGACGCCCTCAGAGCCGAGCACATCTCCATGGTGAAGAAGCGCTGCCCAAAGGGCGTCGAGAGCGACACGAGCTACGCGAGACAGGAGTACAACATACGCCATACCCAGGTTAAGCTGGAAGACACGGTCAAGCAGTTCAAAGAACTCCACGACGAGAACAAACGGATGGTGTCCAAGCTCCACGAGCTGGAGCAAAACAAACCCAGGTAAGTGGCTAGATTCCGTCTTGATTCCTCCTGAGCTGCTTCCACGGGCTAATGCATCCGAATATTTTCCAGCGATGTGTACCTCAACACACGTGATCGCCTCATTCTAGACTGGCATTTTGCCAACCTGGAGTTCGCGAATGCCACGCGACTGAATAACCTGTCACTGAAGCACTGGGACCAGGACGACGACTTTGAGTTCATTGGCCACCACACGACCGTTCGGAATGGCTACTCTTGCGTGCCCGTGGCGCTCACCGAAAACCTAGACATTCGCGTCAACAGCGCCGTCAAGGAGATCAAGTACGGCCCCAATGGCATTGAGATTGTGGCTGAGAACATGAAGACCAGCAACTCTGTGATGACATACAAGGCTGACCTTGCTGTCTGCACACTGACTCTTGGGGTGCTGAAGGTAGCGGTGGCCGAGGAGGAATCCCAGCAGAAAAACACTGTTAAGTTTGACCCCCCTCTGCCGGACTGGAAGCGGCAGGCGATACGTCGCCTGGGATTCGGAAATCTGAACAAGGTGGTCCTCTGCTTCGATCGCATCTTCTGGGATCCCAATGCCAATCTCTTCGGCCATGTGGGCAGCACAACGGCTAGTCGCGGTAAGTGATTACCGGAATACCACAATCAGAAGTATTTGCTAATCGCTATGATTTAGGGGAAATGTTTCTCTTCTGGAGCATTAGCTCGTCCCCAGTGCTGCTGGCTCTAGTCGCCGGAATGGCCGCGAATATTGTGGAGAGTGTAACAGACGACGTCATCATCGGTCGTTGCATGTCAGTTCTGAAGAACATTTTCGGCAATACCTCTGTGCCCCAGCCAAAGGAGACGGTGGTCACGCGCTGGCGCAGCGATCCATGGGCTCGCGGCTCCTACAGCTACGTCTCCGTAGGGTCCTCTGGGAGTGATTACGACCTGTTGGCAGCACCCGTCATACCGCCGCCTGCCAGTGGGCAACGCTCGAGCAAGGACGCTGAGGGGCTTCCGCGGTTGTTCTTTGCCGGCGAGCACACGATACGGAACTATCCTGCCACAGTACACGGGGCCTACTTGAGCGGGCTGCGCGAAGCCGGCCGCATTGCTGACTACTATCTAGGGTATCCGGAAGGAACGCCGCCCAACATTGGCTACTCCGTCGCTGAGGCGGCCAATGCCGTGTGTGTGGGCAATGTTGTCAAGCTGCGCGACTTCTCGCCCAATCTCACCGATTCGCCAGCATCCAAAAAGTCCGAGGAGAACTCAAACTCAAACACTGCCGAGCCCGAGCCCGAGCCCGAGACCGAGCCCGAGCCCACGGAAGTGCCGTAGCTCACGAGCGTAGGAAGTAGTTTAAGTGTTTCAATTAGCGCAATAGCATCATCAAATAAGCCATTTAGTTAAGGAAGTGTTGTAATCTTGAATCTGTAACAGTTTTAGTGTTTGTATTATAGAATCGGCTTGGCTATATGATAGGAAGAGTTTCAGGATAAGTTAGACCTACGTAAATACCTAAGACTATTCCAGATAATTTGGATAATGCTAGAGACCATTCAACCAATTATTTTATTTAGCAATTAAGCAACAAAAGAAGCAATATCACCGAACATAGAAAAATATCTTTCACTTGCATCAGTCCGAACAGAACTGCTCTGCTTTCCATCTATCCTAATTCTGTATGTCCTTTCACAGAACCGGTTGATGGGCAAAAATAGTCGTTCATACTTATATGTTTAAGCGGATCAATCGAAGGCGCCCAGTTTGTGGGACAGCTGGAATACCTCATTTAAGACAAATCTACTTCGAGATTCTGAGTGTTTTTACATTGTGGAAATCTGGTTCCCATCGATCTATCAGTGGAGTATCGTATCCCCATCTAACTAGAACTCTTATTCCTATGATAATTTCGTATCCTTGTAGGTATATGCATGTATGTACATATGTAATAACAACATATTTAAGGCACAAATTAGTATAGCTACCACACTGTCTACGGTTTTAACTGATCGAAACATATTTTAAAATAAATACAAATACAAAAATTGAAATCAAACAAATAGGGGGTAAAATATGGAGAATGTACATTTTTGTTGTTATGTATACTTTTTTTTTATAAATAAATATTTAACGATACAGATGTGAAATGTAAAATGTAAAAACTATACACACGGCTACCTAATTAATTCATTAGGTACTTCCTTCCGTTTGTGGCATACACTTACAGGAATCGAGCATACCCAGCCAGTGGGCGGTATCAGAAAGCGAAACTATATTTTGGGTCTCTCGGGCAGTTGGGCAACACGCATTGCTTTCGTAATTGTGTCGTAGGTTCAACGACCTCCGGTGCGCCACCGTACCTATTCAATGGCAATGAAAGCTAAACCTTTAACCAAGCGAAAGCTTTCGCTTCCTATCTATCTCCCTCTCAAGCTAAAGCCTCGAGTCGGTCGCGGGAGGGAGTCCGTCCCTCTCAGCTCCGATCGTACATTTGGCGAGCTATTCGGAGAAGAGAGTGCACATTCGTGTGTCAAGTTCATCGCCCGATTGCTTAGAAACCTACCTGGTCATAGTAATGCTTCCCCCCAGAAATTGGTATGACGAGCGTTCAAGTTTTTGCTATTTTTTTTCTTTTTTTTTTATGGAATGCTCTTCTAACTCGTTGAGTGTGTGTACGAGTGTATGTGAGTGCACATGCATACAGGCCGTTGGAAGTGACCTTGAGCCAGGGCAACGACACATCACCCGAAACTAATACTAACTGAGGACCAACTGAGGCGGAAACTCGGAGTGTGAGGCGCCTTCAGGTAGGACCCGAGTGCCCATCATAGCAGATATATAAACGATAATCACGTGAGCTGGCAGGGCGGGGAGTCCCCGCGCACCGCGAACTGCTACAATGCTTTCAGATCATAAGAATTTTGTTTGGATTGATGGCTCGGAGAGGCTGAAATCCTGAGCGCCGCTACAGGATCGCCATCCCCTCCGACTTCACACGGCGATACGACCGACTCTCCCGCACCACCCACGATGCAGCAGGTAACTATCACCGAGAGCTTTTCCCACAGAGCCAGCCAACTATAAAACCCGGAACGAGAGCTGCAACAGGGCCAGTCGGAAAGATAGATTCATTCGGCGGTGACGAAGAAGCTTCAGAGTCTAACAGAAACAAAAGCATGACTGAGAGTGATAGTGAGCTGTCAAGCGCTGTGAGCAATGCTCTTTTGGCCCTATATCAACGCCAAGATGTGTCGCTAGTCGCGCAGCCAATAGCGGGCGTCGGAGAGAATGCCTACGGACAGGTCCTGCTCGTGAGTTGGCCAACAGAGTCCAAGGCGAAGAGGGTAGTGGTCAAAATGGCGCCCAAGAACGAGGCAAGACGACAACACATGCACGTAGTCGACTATTACGCCCGAGAAGTGTTCATGTACCAGAACGTGTTCCACACATACCGCGAATTGGCGGACGACCATAGTGCCTTCACAGTGGCACCTGAATTGCTGGCATCCGGATTGCAGGCGCCCGACGAGTTCCTGATCTTCGAGGACCTGTCCCAAAACGGTTTTCAGACAAACCCACGCAGCTCCATGCCCACCTACGACATTGTGGTGTCCACCCTCAAGGCGGTGGCCGAGCTGCATGCGTGCTCCTTTATCCTACAGCAACGCAATCAGGTAAAGTTCAGCGAACTGGTGGATCATGTGCGGCAGGACAACCTATTCACGGCGAACATTGAGACGGTGACGATCGAATTTGGCAAGGCAATGCTGAGGCGCACTCGACTCATGCTGGAGCAGGACGAAGCGCGGGACGACGACACAACGCCTATGATGGAGGTGCTGGAACGCTGTGAGAGGAATCTAAAGGCCTTAACACTCTACTGTGTGGACGGCGCATCGCAGTCGCCTCACGCGGTCATCTGTCATGGCGACTTCTGGAACAACAATATTCTGTATAGGCACGAGGTTAGCGCGCAATTTTCGATCTCAGTCGTAAGCCGAGTCTATAAGTAGTCCCATCTTCTCCACAGACTCACTCTGATCTGGCGGTTGAAGCCAAGCTGATCGATTTCCAAATGTCTCGTTTTGCCCCACCTGTTCTAGACCTTGTTCACTACCTATTCGCCTGCACAGAGAAGCAGCTGAGGGATGAGCACCTACCAGCCTTTCTGAACATTTACTACGACACGTTGAGCCGGAAACTGGGCTCCTGCGATCTGAATGCAGACGATATCTATCCGCGCACCGTCTTCGACCGCCAATTGCAGCTCTTTGGTGTATTTGGCCTGATAATGGCCGCGTTTTCCTTGCCCTTCTTCATATCCAATGCCAACGAAGTGGTCAACATTGATGAAGTCTCCGAGGCCATTCAGGATCTGTCTGCATCGGCCACCGACGCCCCCAAGTGCCGCGAACTAGTGGAAGAGTTTGACATGCTCAACGAACGCACATTGCCAATTTTCAAGAGGCGTATGACCGATGTCGTCCGGGATCTGCTAAAGTACGACATGACCCAACCGCTTTATCAATTCGATTCGACTCGTGATGATGATATCTGTTAACAGTATTAGGTATTATTGTGTGTGTGTATATATGTATGTATGTATGCTCTTAAATAAACAATTACATATGTTATTATATAGACTTTCACATGGATTAGTTCTTAGACCGAATTGTGAATCATGATCTGTGACTATACGCGATTTGAGATTCTGTCAAATGTCAGATGGAGGAGGGGTTACATTTACAGCTGGCTTAAGGTTTAACAGCTACGTATTACGTGACCCACAATACCACATGCTAATGTGTATGTACGTATAAATGATATTACTCTGGGTTTTATTCAGGGCAGGGTTAAAGAGTCTTAATAAATAAGAACAAGTTCAAGAACAAATACAAAAATGCACTAACAAAACGGATGACAACTAAATTATCTGCACGGCTGCATGGCTTTTCTGTGCTATATGCATTGTATAGCTAATACAAAAAGGATATACATACTAAACATACTCTACTCGTATTTACATAATCTTATAATGAAATTAAAAAGGAAAGGAAAGGGGTTTGTTTCAACTGGTTCGTTGGACATTCGTTACATGCGTAGCATCCATCATAACATCCATAAGTTGGAGGAAAAATAATAAGCATAGCTCGCAAACGACGGTCAACACTTTTTCCCTTTGCTGTCTCGTCACTGACAAAACCGAAAAAGACCACGAAGACACGGTCTCTCACTGAGCAGAACACTTTTGTCTCTTCGCTTGTGTTATGTGTTTCGGGTTTTCGGGTGAGCCCGACACACGATCGTGTCTCACAATAACAACTTAGAGAGACACTTTGGTCAAGCGCTCACAGCAAAAGTGTCTTTAGATGAGCAGAACCAACAAAAGTGTCTGAGTAAAGTGTTTTTAGTTTTTTTCGTGTATATGTTTAATTATTCATGTTTTCCGCATCTTTTGGGCTATTGTATTGTAATATGTATATTTCTTTGCAAAATTGGCAAACGAACATTTTCGTTTTGCTTTTCACGATTCATTTTAAGCTCCAATAGTCAAACCGTATAGAATTCACAAAAATTGATAGTTGCCATAAGCTTCACACGTACAAGCACGCATACATACGCAAAAGACACTTTGTTCGTTTGCTCGCGGCAAGATGCTCAGTAAAGAACAGGAACAAAAGAGAAGTGAAAAAATCGGTCTTTGCTTGAGCGAAGAGCGAGTTGAGCAAAAACAGATTTGATCGGGTCTTTTCAGTGCATTTTCTCAATGTGTCCGTCAATGAGAGGTTTTTATCAGACACGCCGAAAGTGTCCACAGTTATTTGCGAGCTATGATATTAAGTAAAAAGTTGTAGCTCAATTACTGAGAGGGTGTTTACCTAAGGTGGCTTTTGATATTCGTATGTAAATTAGTAATCGTGGATCTATGGATCTATAGCTAAATGTAGCTACATTTTGAATGCTTATTCTATAAAAATAAAAAAAAAATTTAAATTATCCGTAATTATAAGGCCTACAGTTACTGCCAATCGTCAAGTTAAACCAGGTTCTACTCGTATGCTATGATCTACTCTCTAATCAAACTAACAACTCATTGAGTTTATTGCAGCGACGAATGTCCAGCACTCAGATATGCAGCCAAGACCTTGGACTGTAATGTAATGGCCTGCCTACTCTACTGCATTGACTCCCGGAAGCGGTTCTGTCGCTCCAGGCTCTCCACCTCCGCCCAGCAGTTGCGCATGTTGCGGAACAGCTGCAATGAAGAAAAGGATCAATTAAATAGGATTGTTAGCATAGCATTGTTCTGCAATCGGACATGCCTCATCGATCCAATTATGCGCAGCCAGCAGATCGTTTAATATTTCGGTGGAGGTCTTCCCAGGAAATTGTTGCTGCTGCTCCGTGACACGCTGCGAGCAGTTGATAAACAGATTAAACTTCTCGTGCGCAATCTTGTGGAAGAGATCCGCACGCGCGGCACAAATGCGACAAAGAACAATGTCCTATACGAGAAGAGAGGGAGAGATATAGCCAGAGGTCACTCACGCCACTGGATAACAGCGACTGGGGGCATTCTTACCTTCTCGTAGGCAATACGAGGATCGACAGGGATGGTTTGCATGGTGTTGGGATTGTAGGGCTCCCCGAATAGAAGGAAGCGCACTGCGATGCCCGGCTGTCGGCAGCCGGCGCAGTTTTTCTGAGTCAGATTGTTTTGCTCCCACTCGGAAAAGACGTGGCACTTGGGCCAGGTCTCAATGGACAGGATGGTGCTACGTGTCCATGGCGTGATGGCCAGCAGCTTATGTTTGCAATTCTCCATGATGGTATCCACAACACGCACGCTGCCCAGGAAGTAGTCGTCTGCAAGAAATGAGATAATAAAATTCAGTATCAACGCCAAACAAGAGCCACATCCACGTCTTACCCTTTTCCCGTGTGATTTCTGAGAAGAAACTCGGATCGAGCGCCTGTGAGATCATGGTCTGAATGTAGATCTCAAAGTTATCCCTGTACGACAAATAATCCTCCATAATCTTCTCGATAAACTGCTCGGTGTCGTCGGCCAGCAGCTCGGATCGCATGAACTCCACAATCGTCTCTGTGTGGGAATGTACCTGCATGCGCACTGGTGCTTTGAGGTAGAGTTTTTTTGTTTCGAGATTCCATGAGGCATACTAGTTGCAAGTTCAAACAAAGTTAAGTCACGTTATAAAAAGAATCCAGAATGTGACCTTAACCTTACCTTCGACATGTTGCGATAGAAGGTCTTTCCGTTCTGGCGGAAGGGCTCATATTTTTGCAATATGCACTTGGAGTCCACCTGCCAAATGGTGGGCCAGTCGTTCACAAGATCCGAACGCAGCACGATAAAATCGCCCGTCTATAAAATAAAAGAAGATAAATGAAGAGTCCCCTGTCTCATGGCTGGGAGTGCAACCTACTTTAAAGTTCTCCGCTGTGGCTGCCGTACCCGCTGCAGCACTGCCATAGCCCACGTCTCCCACTCCGGACATATCCTGCTGTGGATTGTAGCCATCACCAGCGGCTGGCATTTGCTGCACCTGCTGCTGCTGCTGGGACACCTGTTGCATCTGCTGCAGTTGTTGGTTGTGCTGCTGCTGTTGCTGCTGATGTTGTTGCTGGTGTTGTGGCTGCATCTGGGATGGATTCTCATAGGTGTTCTTGCGAGGCGTCCCTTTGGAGCGTCGCGCTATCTTGCGCTTCCCATAGCCCTTGCCGGCGTCATCGCTCTGCGTACATAGTGGATGGATGGGTGGGTGGGTTACAAGCGGTGACGAGGCGAACACTAACGGACCACACAAATAACACTTACATCATCCTCTTGTGGAGTCCAGACAGGATCCGTGTCCGAGTCGGTGAACTCGGCCTCCGGCTCGCCCACGGCACTGTTCTCCCCTGCGGCGGCAGTGGAATTCAACAGAAGAGCGTGCATAGTGCTTTGCTTAGCCTTGCGGGAGCATTGCTCGCGACGCGCAGGCACATTCAAGGGGTCTGTGAAGAGCACAAAAGTTCGGTTAGCAACATTGATCAGGGAAAGAGGAGTGACGCCTTTCGGGGGCGAGTGCATCCACAACACGAACGGAACGACAACAACAACAACCACAACAACGACGACGACAACACCACAGTTATCCCAACAGCCCAAAAGAGCAGTCGCCGGCGCACCTATACCTTTGCACCTCGCACCTTGCACCTTGCACCTTGCACCAGCACCTGCACCTGAATAGAGGACAGCACTCGACCTATGCTCTCTCCCGATCTCTGCCTGATCTTTTGTGCAATCGGTCGGTGGTCGTGGGCTTACAATGTAAATAATAAAAATACACAGTTTATTTGGGTTTTTGTAAATTAATAATATTTGTTCATCTCGATTTCATCTCAAAAATACTTGTTTACTTTTGTTCATGCGATTCTCCTTTCTTTTGTTTTTTTTCTTTCTTTTTCTTTTAACAATTTAAAAGTGCTTATTCCTTTTTTTTGTTCTTTTACTTTTTTGTTTTTATGTTTTTTTTTTACATATACACAGCGTCCATGTCCTTTGTTCACGTCTGGATCCCTATCGCCAGTCATCTGTCGTCGGTTGTTGTTGTTGTCGTGTTGTCTATTGTCGTGTCGTGTGGTGCGGTGCGGTGTTCGGTGCTGCGGCTAGTGCTGCCATGGCCACAGCAGATTGATAAAATGATGAGGATTCGGCGCTGGTGCGGCGGCGGCAGCGGCAGCGACGGCTGCGGCGGTGGACGCCGGCGTTGGAGATGTCGCGATGGATGCCGCGCTCGCGTTGGCGTTGGCTGACGTGTTGTGGTGGTGGTTGTTGTTGTTGTAGTTGTTGCATGGCGTGGAATTAGCGATAGTGGAGTGCTTATTGGAACTATGCTGTTGGTCAAGTAACATACCTTGACTGCCGCCAACGACTACGCCGACCCCAGCGCCCGCTCCCAACTGGGCGCAATGCTGCTGCACGAAATGCTGTGTACCCATCGACTGCTGCTGTTGCTGCTGTTGTTGCTGCTGCTGCTGGGCGTATGGCCGGAAGGAGGTCTGATCGGCAGGCTGCTGAATGACGGAGGAGGGCGTGGACTCGGCAGCTGCTGCCGCAGCCACCATTTGTGCATGCGGCCGCTTCTTGGGCAGTATTTGGGTCTGGGAGAGTATTTTGATGCGATGCCCGTCGTCGCCGACTAGTCCGGCGAGTCCTTCCTGTCCTGTCTGGTTGTCTCCAGGACCACCAGCCCCAACCGCTGTCTGCGACGTAGAAGCCTCTTCGCTGCCGCCCCCTGGGCCGCCCTTGCCCTTACGCTTATACGGCGCTCGCGGATAATTCAGCTTGCGCGATGGCTTCACCACCGGTGGCGGGTCGTCGTCCCGTTCGCCCTGCAAGAACTTCAGATAGCTGTCCATAAACTGCGTCTTCTTCTCGCCAATCAGCGTGCCCACGCTGACCGGCTTCGGGAGCGATTGAACTGGTCTATACGGCACCGAGGCGCCGTGGCCCGTGACGGGTGGGCTGGAGGTCGGGCCGCCCGATGGGTGGTGGCCATGCCCATTCGACGGGCAGGGTGTCGGCTCTGGCGATGGGGTCTTGTTGGGATTGCGTATGCCAAAGTTGGTGTTGTTCGTGGATGAGTTGGTGCCGCGGCCATTGCTGGACGACGAGTTGGCGTATCCCTGCTTGGGGGCACTGCTGGCGTCTGCGAGGAAGTCCAGCTCCTCCTCAATGTTCGGCACGATCACCTTATTGCTTGCGTCCGCAACAGCCGCCGCAGCGGCTGCCGCAGCATCGTCCTCCTGCTGGGCAGCCTCGATCTTCTCCTGCTGCTGCTGGTTCTGGTGCTGTTGCTGCTGCTGCTGCTGTTGCTGCTGCTGCGTGTAGGCCTGTTGGTGCTGCTGCTGTTGCGTATATGCTTGCTGCTGCTGCTGCTGTTGTTGCTGCTGTTGCTGTTGCTGCTGCTGCTGCATGCACGCCGTGTACTGCGAGGCAATGGGCTGGGGGAAGGCTGGATAATATTGCGCCAGCTGGGTGAGATGTGATTGTGCCTGCGAGGACTGCAGATGGGCCGGCTGCGGCAGGTGTTGCTGCTGCTGCTGGCTTTGGTGCTGCTGTTGCTGCTGCTGCGTCTGCTGGGGATATGTGGGTATGTTGATGGTGGCCGCCGGCGACACAGAGGCCGCATTGTTCTCCGTCTTAAGCGGTGCATTCCACTTGTTGAATTCGTAGTACGTGTTCTGCTGTTGCTGCTGTTGTTGCTGCTGGCTGTGCTGCTGCTGCTGCTGCTGGAGCTGATGGTGCTGCGGCTCCTGGGGACTGCGCACGTTGCTGTAGTCGCTGCTGGTCGCTATCAGCGTTTTCTTCGGCTGGCGCTTGCGCGGCGTCTTCGCGGGCTTCGGCGGCGGCTTGACCTCTTCCTGCAATTGAGCGAAAGAAATACCTTCGATTAGGATCCTGTGGCTTTTGTGGCTTAAAAGGCTATCAGAGACGAGGCTACCAAAACATTGGACATGGCTTAGGGACAGCATTAAACATTTATACTCTCGACGATCAGAGATCGGTCTTCCCACATGCGGATCTCTACCGGGATCCAGATCCACCG